TCTTCTTTGTCACCCACAAAAAAACCCCCCCCCCCCCCCCCCCACCCAAACTGGAAACACAAGTCAGTAACAAAAAGCTGAAATGCGCTCTCCCGCAAACCCTCCTCCTACGAAACAAGTAATCAACACCTATGTAATAATAAAAGGGAAATATATGCGGTCCTGGAGAATTCTTGTAAAAAGGCAGCAACTTGGAGAGAAAAATGTTGCAAACACTATGAAAATTATGTAAACATGAAGCCAGAAGCCCACAAATGGCTGGAAAGGTCATCTATATAACAGTTTGTGTTAACAGTAGGGAGGCTGGGCTTGGCTGCTGCCAAGCTTACTTAAAAAGGCAATACTGTAAACCTAATTTCCCAGCAGCCAGTTTGTTAAAATGGTGCCTCTTTTGGCTGATCCCAGCCGCTGCAAGTATTCAACTATACATTTCCTCTGCTGCAAACAGTGGTCCTTCCTATCAGCCCATATGTCCTGTAGTGACATTCAAGCGGTTAGGAGAAAACACTGTGTGCAGTGGAGGAAACAGGCATTTGACCCATCCTACTGAATACTTGCAGCGGTTAGAATAGATGTTTCAACTAAGCAGCCACCGGAAAGACAAGAATATTGCCTCTATCTGGTATGCTCTTACATAGAACGTGATCCTGTGTTGATAGTGTCCCTTTAAAATGTTGCCTCATCAGTGCCCTACACCAAACCAAGACCTTGGGGAAAATGAGCCTCAATCTTGCAGGAAGCTTCTGATCCCTTTCTAAGTGTAAGTGATTGAGAGGGCAATCAATCTGGTGACGAACATTTTGAACACCATTTCCTTTATTAGGACATGAGAAGAGAAGAAAGCCAGCACTGAACCGGTCTGCATTTACTGTAAAATCTAAGCTGGTGAAAGAACATCCCCTTGACTTTGTATGCTCAATAGGGAATCTGGTCAGCACTTGCAACATAACAGATAAACTACAGGGTAGAAGCATTGGATGGTTTAACGTGCAGGTCAATGAAAACAAAAATCTTCCTCTAACAGGGCAGAGCTCTAAATTTCTAAGCATGTGGTGTAAGCCCTGCCTACATAGACCTCTCACATCCATAACCCCTCCTTCAGCAAATAAAACACAGGAAATCACACAAGATTTTTGGCAAAATCAGGTGGGGGGTTTTTTCCCACTTGTCAAAACACATTTAACAAAACACTTTCAATGGTATATTTAGCAGACCAACTGAAGCCAACAAGAGAAATTCAATGTAAGATATAAAATATAGGCAACCATCTCTGACCTTCTGAAAATGCACGTTTTCTGGAAGCCTGCTTTCATTACTTCAAGTCACTGGCATAAACAAGTATTTTGGAGTGCTGACTTTTATTTTTTTAACTGCATATTTGTTTCAGTCTAACTACTAAGGCCCCATTCACATTGAGCGGTTCGCAAATCGATTTGCATTTTGCGCGATATAGCGCAAATGCTTGCATTGAGCAAGCTTGAATCGCGGCTAAATCCGCTCCAAAAAGGGTCCTGCTGTAGTGATGCATGACCCGCGACAGCAGGACCCTTTGCCCCATTGAGAAGCATTGGAGAGCGATATCGCGCGGTAAATTGCCGCGATATCGCAGGAATTACCACGCGATAAATCGCTCAATGTGAACGGGGCCTAAAAGTCAGAGGATAAGCATATTAGCTAGGTGTCTTTTCCAGCAGCAGCAGCCAGCATGAGGACAGCACCTTGGTAGAACCATGCAAAAGAGAACATGGAGTTGTAGGCAACATTGAAGGGGCACTTAGGTGGGTAGGATGACAACCAGGAAAAAAGCAGGGTCTTGTTGGCCAAGGGAGTGAAGTTTTTGAGAAGCGGGTGGTCAATTGCATCAGGCAGCAGAAAGGTCTATTAGTATGGGTTTCAGCATTAACCCCTTAGTGACACAGCTTCAGGACATGTTTTCATCCCTGGGGAGCGCAGCAATTTTGCCATTTTTGCTATGTGTTCTTTTCCATCTTCCTCATTCACTGCACCCACATATTATATACCGTACTTGCCGGCGTATAAGACGGGTTTTGAGACCTAAAAACATCAACCGAAAATCGGGGGTCGTTTTATACGCCGGGTATGGTTGTGGTATACAGCTTCGGCTACATACAGTATACCGCACTGAGCCAATCACGGCAGCGGCAGGGCTTGTTTTAATGAATACCAAACCTGCCCGG